TTTTTTTTTTTTCTTTCTAATCAAATTTTTATAATCAGTTTGCAGTCTTAAGGAGAACGTAACTATTACGTGATTCGACTTTGATTTTATTTTTGTTTTCTTTATTATCTTTAAGCCATCTTCTCGATATTCATATATCACATAAAATTACAACCTTAAGACGAAATTGTTGTGAGTTTATAAGATGCAAAACCGAAGGAAACCAAATGTATTCTTTAAGTGCTCAACCGATCGCTACATTGGCTACTAATTCATTCACCCGATGGTAGTCGATCCCATCTAAGGCGAGAGAAGGCCAAAGTTCGATGGCTCTGATTTCAAGAGGTGGCAATAAATGATACTTTTCTATCTCACAACTCTCTCCCTCTCTCGTCCCAAATGTGAGACCGACTCCAGAAGCATACGGCTCGGATGCTTGCTTTCACAACATGGTGTAGACCAATGTTTTAAATACCGTACCGGTCATCATATCGGACGAGCCAAGGGTACGCGGTTCAACCGGTTTTACCATCTATTTTATTAGTTTTAATAAATATTAAATTAATTTATTATTACAATATAAATAATGTACAAAACTAACTTTAATTAATACTAAAATTAATTAACATCTAATTAAACTTATTAAATGAAGTATAAAACTTTCAACTTATATAAATAAATTTGAAGTTGTATAATCTTGTATGAGAACAACTTGTATATTGCTAAATAACAACTGAATGGACTACGACAATTCAAACAATTGCAGAAGCAGTATAACTTAAAGTTGAACCTTCACGAGAGCGTCCCACTCTCCCTTCAGATCTCTTTCATTAATGCAAACAACACAAACATTATTCAAGGGTTTACAGTATAGACTCCCTCTACACTCTATTTGAACAATGATCTGCACAACTACTTATCCAACCACAAATTCTTTGTAATTTTTCACGTTTGACTCCCTCAAACTTCACATAATGAACCTCCGATCGCTCTAGATTTTTCACTCAATAAAATACAATAAAAACAACGCTCAAGCAGATTAACTCTTGTTCCAGAATATGCGCACACAAAAATTCAAGATAAAAAAAGTCCTCTTCTCCAAGTGTATCATCGTCCTTTTATCTTCAATCACATATGGTAAGTCGCGTACCAGATTTTGCTTCCAAGTTACGTTAACTTATGGTAGGTCTTCTTATAGAAGTTCCAAATCCCGCGATTGCATCTTGTGTACTTTGGAAAATGAATCCCAATTGCCTTTTATTAGACCTGCAATAATAAAACATATATTAGTATTTATCTATAAACTGAAGCAATTAGAAATTAGTCCAAGTAATAAAGAAAAACTTTTCTTAAATATTCTTGAGTCGTCTGAACCTGAGAACCGATGAAGGTTCGCCGATTTACTGTCAATCTTTAAAACTTACAAAATTAATAAAAATATATTAAAAAATATTTTTTAAAAAAAATTGGCATAAACCGATATTTTGGCCGGTATTTTCTGGAAAAATGGTATTTTCCGGTATGAAACCGGTATAAATCGATATTTTGGGCAAAACGGTATTTAGAGTGTAACTGTATCGGTTGGACCATCGGTATCCAGTATTACCGGTCGATACAGTATGGTAGTTAAAACTTTGGGGTAGACTAGTATCTTATATTATTATTATTATTATTATTATTATTATTATTATTATTATTATTATTATTATTATTATTATTATTATTATTATTATTATTATTACTATTGTTTAATATGTAGCTTGGAGAATAAGGTAGGTTTTAATATTGAGAGTCTTATATAAAGGACTCTTATGCTTTATTGTTACATGGTGGATTTTGAATAAAAGATGAATAGGTGTCGTGTTTAGGCGTTCTTGAGATTGTGATCTCGTTAATATCGTTTCACTCGTACGTTTCCTCAGAAATCAACACGATCCAAGATGCCGCCGCGGAAGGACGACATCGATGGGCGTGATGCCACCCTTGAGTATCTGGGTCGACAAGCCAGGAGTTTTGACCGCTAGATCCATCAATTGGATCATGGGGTTGGGGATCTTTTGATGGGGATAGAAAAAGTTCATCTTACGATCAACAACATGGTTGAAGATTTGCAGACAAACTGTGACGCTGGCAACAAGGGCGTGCGCGGGGGAATTCGCAGAGGACGTGGAGATCGTGGTCCAGCGGGGCACCCCGTTGGAGATCTACACAACCGTCGTCTAGTGACTAAGATTACAAGGAGACAATCTCGGAGATGAACCCCTTTGGCGTTTATCAACCTCCGTGCATCGAGTTTGAGCCCTTCGCTTGGTTTGGCAGCTGAGATATTTAGCGACGGGGTCCGGTCTTCGTGGACAATGACGATCAACCCGATGACAGGGACTGGCGCGAGGAGGCAGCCTTCGCTGACGGCTACCGTCCCCAACGTGATTGGGGTTTGCAAGGTACGATGATGAGTTCGCGGGGTGCAATCGACAATGACACAACCTCGGGAACGATAGCGCGTACTTTGATGATGTACAACATCGGCAGGGTTGGCCACACCAACGCGATAGCGTCACGGGCGAGTGGAAGCAAAGGCAGTGACGGACAAGCGAAGGCCTCACGCTGGGCAGCGACTGCAATTGAGGCAAAACCCTAAGAGCGACCCAATTTCATGAACAGCGGCGGGCAAACGACGGGTTCGCGTCGGGTGGCGATACCGGCTTCGACGACGGTCGCGAACAGTATTGGACAGTCGACAGTTTTATGGACCAGTGGCCATGCAAGCAGCGACGCCCTGCTGCGTTTTTCATAGATGCACAGTGGGGAGATACAATGTGGACCGAGGGTTTTGATGAACTAAAGACGCTGAAACCAAGGCACACAGCAGCGACTGACTTTGATGGCCCAAAACATGATGCGCGGTGGTTCGAGGGAGTCACTGGCTTCGACAACAGTAGGGCCAGACATGATGCTGAGGGTGGCGACGCTGTTGGGGTCCACTTTCACTGGCATTTTGCTGAATTGTTGGTGATAGCTGGTGGGAATCGGTGTTTTGCGTGGAGATTCCAGAGTTTGTCAGGAACCAAGGGGACGTTTTCTAACTTTGGCTTGTGTAAGTCGCTAGAAAATATTCATCCATGTTACTGGAGGTTGATAGGTTTTGTTAGAGAAAGGTATGGGAAGGAGTGTGATTGGTGGTCTTTGGGGGCAATATTATACGAGATGCTCATCCGTCATTCTCCTTTTTGTTTTTTTGATCCTAGGTGACATGTCCCATAATAATAAATTGGAGAACATGCTTGAAGTTCCCTGAAGAACCAAAAATATCTTATGAGGCTAAAGATCTCATCCTCCATTTTTTATGTGATGTTGGGAAACATTAAACCTTCGTGTTCGACTTGGGAAATGACAGGGGTTTCCTACCATGGGTTCGACACCACACGCAGGCCATGGGAGCGCATCGATTTTGAGGGCGAAGCCCACTGAGTCGAGGGAGAATGGTGTAGACTATTATTATTATTATTATTATTATTATTATTATTATTATTATTATTATTATTATTATTATTATTATTATTTTTTTATTATTATTATTATTATTATTTAAACAGGTAGCTTGGAGAATAAGTTATGTTTTAATATTTAGAGTCTTATACAACATTTTCTTGTGTATAATTTACATCCTTAATGCACTATACGACTTTCTCTACAATGTTTGTAGTCCGATTAAAATGGCGAAGGAGTTATATATGGAATTTTTTGGAAGTGATGTACAAGACGGAAGATGTCGGGATTAAAAAATTTCTCGTCTGTAAATTCCTAAAGTACTTAATAGTGGATATCAAGTCAGTGGTTGGCCAAAACCAAGAGATCCAAATCATCTTTCACGATTTGTTGGCCGAAGGATTGATTGAAAATGAGGCCTTCCAAGTTATGACTATTGTTGAAAAATTACCATCAGTTTGGAAAGTGTTCAAGAACTATATGCATAAACGTAAGAAGATGACTTTGAATGACTTAATTATTCGACTTCGAATTGAGGAAGATAATAAAAAGTTTGAAGTATTGACCAAATGGAGCGAGATAGAGGCTACGACAAATTTAGTCGGACTGAGCTCGAGAACTAAATGTAAAAAAACTTTTCATTGCAAATCGAAATGGGACGCCAAGAAATCCAAGAGATGCTGTTACGATGGTGACAAACCCGAGAACCTTGTCCAAGTTTACTAGCTTCTGAAGAGTAAAGGTTAGTTCGGATTGCTGAGGACAAGATAAGACTTGTTAGTCGCTGAGCAGGCGTAGCCTTCTTCTTTCAGGCCCAACAAGGGTATGAAGAGGAAGAAGCCTGCGGGAAAAGTAATTGTACAGGCGTCTGCAGCTGTTTTGCCGTAGGCCCATTAGGAAGTGGAAAAGAAGTCGAAAGACAAGTGCCACCAGTCAAGTAGAAGGAGCACTATAAGGCCAATTACCCTCTCCTAAGAAGTGCATCATGGGTAAATCTCTTTCATTAGTCGTGAAAGTATGTTTAGCGGTGTTATCTACCAATACCTGGTGTGTAGATACGAGAGCCACTGATCATGTCTACAATTGAGCGCAGGGGTTCCTGGAAACAGAACGGTTTAGGGAATGAGAATTTACCGTCTACATGGGCAACGCTAGCACGACGACGACTGTTGCAGTGAGAGACATTTATCTTTATTTTAGTTCACATAGAACTTTGGTTTTGAATGATTGACTTTATGTTCCTAGTTTGAGAAAGAATTTAATTTAGTTTCTAGATTGGTCATAAATTGATATTATGCTATTTTTTTATAACAAATTTATCATTCGTTATGGAAATAAATTCATTTGTGATGGTTCATTGGTTGACAATAAATATGTTCTAAAACCAAAGTCTCCCACAGTGCAACATAAATAATTACTTAATTCATCATCTAATCAAAATAAGAGGAAGAAACCTTCGAGTATGAATCAAACTTATCTTTGGAATCTTAGAGTAGGTCATATAAACATGAGGAGGATACAAAGGTTTGTGGCAGACGGGCCCTTGAAGTTGTTGGAAGTCGAGGCCTTTCAAATCTACGAGTCCTACCTAGAAGGTAAAAAGTTAAAAGACCATTCAAGACTAAAAGACATAGAGCTGATGATTTGTTACTGTGGATTCATTCCGATTTGTATGTTCATATGTCTATCCAGATGAGAGGTGGTTTTACGTATTTCGTTACGTTCATTGGCAATGACTCGAGATACGAATTTATTTATCTTTTGCACTACAAGTCTGAATGATTTGAGAAATTCAAAGAGTATAAGAAAGATGTGGAAAAGCAACTAGGTAAAAACATCAAATCACTACGGTCAGATCGTGGTAGCGAATACCTCTCGAGAGAGTTTAAGAACTACTTATCAAAGAATGGGATTAAGTCCTAGTGGTCTGCGCCAGGTACGCCCCAACAGAATGGCATAGCAGAGCGGTGGAATATGATTTTTATGGAAATTTTTAGGTAAATGATAAGTTATAGTGAGTATCATATTCGTTCATAGAATAAACCCTAGAAAAAACGACTCATATTTTGAACTTGTGCCTTCTAAATCAGTGTCAACTACTTCCATGGAATAGTGGATCGGGCGTAAGCCGAGCCTAAGGTATATCCGGATATGGGGTAGTCCAGCACATGATAAGGGAAGATGCTAACAAGTTAGAACCGCGTTTGGAAGTGAGGCTTTTTGTGGAAAATCTCAGTGGAATGAGGGGTGGTCTGTTTTATAGTCCCAAGGACCAGAAAATGAGCGTTAACATGAGTGCCCGGTTCTTAGAAGAAGACCATGTGATGGATTACAAGCCCAATAGTAACATGTCCTAGAGGAGTTCAATGGGGTTAGTTCTTCAGTACAATGTGCACTTGATGATACACCAAAAAATATTGCAACACGTGTCACCAAAGTTGCACCTGAGCCCGGAGTACCTCTTTGTAATGGGAGGGTTGCCAGGCAGCCGGATCAATTCATGTTTTTAGGAGATTCTTCAGACACAGTCACAAATGGACTTGATATCGACACATGCACATACGATGAGTATGTCACTCCAAGATCGGGACACAAAGTTTTGGCAAAGTGCAATGGAGATTGAAATGGAGCCAATAGACTCCAATCAGGTCTAAAATAATTATTTCAATTTCAAAATCTGGTGGGAAGATATTGGCAATAGCAAAAAAGCTGACAAGATGAAGGAAAAAAATTACTGTTTCTGTGTGCTTATTATGGAGAGTCTGGAAAGCTAGAAGTAACATTGTGTTTAGAGAGGTCAGGTTCAAGATGGTGAAGTAGTAGATGGAGCCAGAAGTGATTGGTAAGAGTTTGTTGGGTTAGACTGTCTGAAGGATGAAGCTCATTTTCAACCCGATAACTCTAACAAGGAGCTTAAAGATGAATTTTCCAAGAGAGTAGGACTTGTGATGATACAAGTCAGTACTTTAACTTCTTCTGATGGACTTTTTGGGGGTAGGTGTAGTGGCGTATTCGGAAGACAAACTTCTGTTCGAAGGGAAGAAGAGTTGGGGTTGGGCTAGTAATCAGATGGAGTCTAACCTCTTAGTAGTAACATGGGCTTTAGAAGTGGCATGAGAACATGTTTATTGTCTGGATTCGGGCAACCTAGTTTCCCACTTAAAAGCTAGTTCTGCGGCTGTATTTTTTTCTGCCCTTTTTAGCAAGTCTGTTGTGGATAATATCTTTATGATTAAAAACTTGTTTGCTTTGTGTTTGTTTTGTTTAGGTTGTCCTTATATTGTGTTGTAACTTGGTCAAGCTGGCATTAGAGGGGGATAGATTGTTTTTCCTCCGATTGTTGCCTCTCTATCAGTTCTGTTAGAGTAGGTTGCTTTGTGTAATCAGTCGAACACTTCTTTGTATATTTTTGAGTTTCAATATAATTTGTTCGTTTGAAAAAGATAAAAAATAAAAATAACATGCAGGTCTCAAAATTTCAATATTTTTTTTGGGGCGAAAAATCAAAACCAAAATCGAGATCTAAAAAATCGATTTTGTTTGGGAAAACAGACTTCCAATCAATGGCCTTCAAGGTGTTCTGATTCGAATTCGGGTTTGGCCTCACAACGTCTCACATTGTCTAGTAAACTGAAAACTCACAGAACATCCCAAAACTTGAATTACACTACTTAAACGACACTTTAATATTGACAATTCACACACAAGAAACGATTAGGATACAAGAGAGTCAATCACTAGAGAGAATGATGCAAAAAGATGTGTGGCCATTTGGTTACATAGTATTTTTCATTACCTCACGAGTAATCAATCCTTCCAGAACAACTTTCTTCTTGTACTCCGAAGAATCCACATCGATCTGCTTCAAATCATGCTCGCACTCATCTACGTTTAAAATACCATGTTTTGCCCGAAAACAAGGGATGATGTAAAACCAGGCAGCCGCGCACATAACCGCACAAAGCTTACCCCAAATGAGCATAACTATCAACGTCAACATTATGATAAATGCCCCAACCGTCGGGTCCAATTGATCAGAGACTTTCGACTTTGCCTCTGAGTGCCTTAGTTTTACTTTGCTGCTGCTACAAGCATCTTCATTTGTACTATTTTGGCCTAATTTTGTGGAAGACATCAGTTGACTTCCGTTGCTTGCATTTTTATTTTTCTTGCACATGTCAATTACCTAAGTGAAAATGAGGAGAATTTATTACAGTAAGTAAATAGAAGTTATACCAAAAATTCATCCAAATTTTCATTGGGCTCTGAAACAATAATCTCAACTTATAAACAGAAGAACAAATTTCAAATTCCATATAGTTATACCTTATTATTTTTGATAAGTTCATGTGATTGGGGTGCCACAATTTTCTGACTAACACTCGTCTGCACGGCCTCAATCTCGTGAATTTCTGTACCGGAACCGACAAGAGAAGATGTCACGGGCTGGCTTATCGGGACAGTTCTGGTGCTGGCCCTGCCCGATGCCCGTCTCGTCCTGTGATTAACAAACTTATCATCGTTCGACTCCCTTTTTTCGTCGAACGACCCGAAACAAGACTTCAAAGAGAAGCAGCTAATACGTGGCCTGTGCTGTTTGTTGATTCTCTTTCTACTCTCATGGTGATCAGCAGCCATGGGAGAGTAGTTCAAAGTTTGAAGACATCACTACAAAAATTTAAATTACTGAATTTATCTCTGACTTTACATGAAATTGATTGGAAAATGTCTTTGCATACATGTTTCATAACAATATACTGTTGTATTTAGTGCAACTACACAAGTGGTTACAAAAAAAAAAAAATAAAAAAAATAAAAAAAATAAAAATAAAATAAAAAATAAAATAAATCAAGGTATCTTCTTGGTCATATGTTTGGACGTGTGGGAATTGCTTTGCCTTTCTGTTGGGTTAGACTTTTAGTTGGGGCCCGGCCGGTTCACCTTCTCCACGTTATAATCAATTATTAAATAATAGTAAATAAGAAAAAATAAATTAAAGTACCATGGTTGTCCGGGCCGGGTCGGTCGGCCGGGAAAACACATTGTTTTTGAATTTTTTTTGTCTTTCTTTTCTTATTTGGGTGGGCCCAAACTCGGGCCCAGCCCACCGAGCTATGGACCCGGCACAACCAAGGTCCCTACTGGTTCAGGGTCCATAAAATCAAACACGTCCGTCTGCCGGGCCGAGCAATCCGTGTTTTGGCCATGTCTAACTGGCTATCCTAGTTGTGGACCAATGTGGTGATTTGGTATGCTTGCATGCTTGACTAAGTGCATCCAAAATGCATTAGGTTCAATTTTACATATGTGGCATATAAATAGATTTAAGTCTAGAATTACATGGACAACCCTAAGTAAAAAAATCATTTGGTGTGTGTGATAAAGATGTTGCATGTATAAAAATAGCCGGGTGCAACGCTCTTAAGGTGAAATATAAATATAATAAATGAACTCTTATTACAAGGTCGACTCAAATTTGGGGCCATCCGGGTGGGTCTTTAAGACCGGTCAACAATGGAGCCAGCTTGAAGCCTAGAACCCTAACAAACTTTGACTCGGTTGAGGTGTTGACCCGGCGGGGAAAGACGGTAGTTCAATTCTTGTTGTTTTGTTTTTAGTTTTATTTTTATTTTAAAAATGAAAATTAAGTACATATAATTATGTGTTAAATATTTATGATAAGATATAAATTTATTAGATTTTGAGGTATAAAATTTACATATAAAAAATATTTAATTTTGTTATTTTATTTATATTTGTAAGATAAAAATAGTTTGTATGTATAGAATTTAAACATTTACTAAATTAATTGCTCAGTTCAACAATTGACCTAAAAACTCAACGTTAAACCACTGATCCGTAAGCCATTCCCAGCCGAATAACGATATGAGTTTCAAAACATTGATTAAGACTGCAAACCTTTTTACTTAGTTTAGCTATTAAATCTCATACCCTCCCCTCTATTATTGTTTTCATAATTTTAATTAATAAAAAATTTTCACAATTCGATTCACACTCCTCGTGAAATCGATCCTTACTTGCTACTACTACTAGTTAATGAGAAAAACTATAAATTATAATTTGCCGCGTTGTGACGCGCAACCATATTTTGGTGTCGTTGCCTGAAGTGGCGTTACTAAATTGTTATTTTAGCACTAGATAAGGGAAATAGGCTAGGAGAAAGAGACTGTCGATAGCCTTTAAAAAGGTCGGCATAAAATATAAAAAGAGTGGGTAATAGTATTGTATTAGTGAACTTGCGATGAAGCCTGAACGGATGTATTTATAGATGAAAAAAAAGTAGAAATGTAATAGTGGCTTCATGCCGACTATGGGCGTGGAGGAGTGACACATGTCCCATGCAAATTCTTGACTTTTGATGATGAGATCGGTTGGACGGTCGCTTTACCAATTCATTTTATTGTTTTTTGTTCATACTGCAGAAAGATCACCAAAAGATGTTGAAATGTCCTACTTGATCGATAGGAGCCCGAACTTGATGAGAGCGACGTAGGACGGGTTGTGTGGGTCCTTGGTCTTTTTCTTTCCCAAACTGACACATGTCTAATTCCTTTCGAGAGTGATTCATTTCTTTGTTTAGTGTGATGGCCCAAGGAATATGTAATATTTTATGCACTAACAATTAAATTTAGTCATAAATGAATACGCAAAACATTAGTTGTGTGATTTAAAAGTTGAAGAATCTTATCCCTAATTGAACCTTTAAATGAGATTAGCTCCATTTGTTATAATAAAGAGAGTTGAAAATACCATAACAATTACTAAAGATATGCACCAAGTGTTGGTTTTGGCTTCGGCCACACACACACTTGTGCTAGTAGGCCAACTCTGCTCGACTTGGCTCGGGCTTTGTGTCTTGTCCTTGGTCTTGAACTTTGGTCCTTGGAAATTGGATTGTGGGATGAATTTGGGCCGTCTTGGACTGTATGAGTCGATGTTGGGCGTGGGCTTTATGCCCAGTTCAATAATATTTTTGATACAAAATTATTTGCAATGTTCACGCCCATAATAAAATCTAACATGAGTTTGGTTCAGACTTGGTTTCGAACCCACCCGTGGGACCTTACCTTAAGTGTTCAGTTCTTGAGTTTGCGGGAGCTCAAAAGCTTGAAAGTTCTGCAACTTATAATACGTAGTTGTATCTTTGAAAATGAAATGTTTGAATCCGTCAACACATTAGAGGCATATTCATCTCGTGGACAGTGATCTTCTCGTCTCGGCTTTCATCTTTCCACTTTTAAGTTTATAATTTTATTTTATGTTTTTTAATTGATATTGTAATAACTAAACAATATCAATACATCATAAGATTATCGTGTATTCTACACTTAGTTTGTAATAAATAAATTGTTGCCCGTTTATGTTTAAGTACTTTCATGTGATTGCTTATTTGCCAAGAGTTATATGCTTAGTTTTTCGTATGTTTCTGAAGAAAGCAAACAGTCCACAATAGCCTTAGTTTAAAAATGCCATTTTCTACATTTATCCCACAGAGTATGTCCTAACATACGTACTTAACCAAAACTGGGGGAAGATTCGATGCTACCACTAATGGTAGTGCCCTCACATGAGTGCCATTTAAGATATTTTAATCCTTACTAGATAAATTATATATTCTTTCAGACATGCTTGTCATGGATTCTGAAACAGATTGTCTACTTAGTTCTTTTATGATTAAAGAATTTTCTTTAACTCGTATAGAAATTTTATTTTCTATCAGAGTTTTCTTTAGCTATATCAATAGCACAATGTTCTTCCAGTGGTGCTAATTCACATAAGTTTTTTTCTCCAACTGAACCTAGATCAGAAAAGATATCTTCTAGTTCAATATAAGATTTTTTTTCTAATAATTTATACTATGATGACTATTAGTCAATGCATAACGTATAACATTTGTGACACTAAAGACGTTGTCTCCAGGGTTCATACCTCTATGTTTGCTTTTAAATATGTGTCTAAATGATCGACTCCAAGCATGTGCCACAGGTACTATTTTCCCTCTTAGTACTTTTTCCTATTGATTAGTAAGTTGGCCTCCAGGATATGATCTTTAACACGATTTCAAACAAACTAGATATTTTTATTCAAACTCAAACATTTTTACATGAGTTCTTGTATGAACACTAGTTATTCATCCCAGCCTCTGATTACAAATATAAGTTCCTAAGAAGGAACCTTTCACTACTCACACATGGACATGGGAGAACGTTTTAAAGAAAGAAAAAGCTACAAGGTAGACGTTGGACTAATTTTCTAATGTTCCCTTATTCAAAATGAACGCGTCCTTTAATAGAGTAAGGAACGAGGGTTGGTACAAGATGATTAACATCATCCCTGAGGTGAGGCACGTTGGCACGCATTTTATCGAGAAACTTTTGGCCAATAATGAACTCAATAATGCACTCACTAGCTTTATCACTTTTTTCTTTATTACAGCTAGAATTGGCTGAACTTGACGTTGTCTAGAAATCTTTATCTTCAGGCATGTTTTTCAAGGTGGTTGGCTCCACCGTGATTTCTGATTGACAGCTTGCATTCAAACAGGTATAGATGCTACAACGTGCTTCCCTATTTTTCTTAACTTTTTTTTACAAATTTTTGGATGATGAAATTCTTGTAATAAGTCTTTTTGGAAGGTGATAATCTTGATTTCATCTTCATTATTCATAATTTTTAGTGATTTTGAATATACCAAATAATTTTTGTCTTTTTTCTTTGGATGCATTTTTTACTGTAGTTCTTTATTGCCTTAAGAACATTAGAAGGTAGTTTATGTAGTTCCTTTAAGGTTTGGCTTTGATATAGTGTTTTCACTATTCTATATTCGAACTTCAATAACCATTTATGGATTTGCGTTTTTAATAAAGTTAAAGAACCTTAGGTACTTTCCATTTGTTGTGAAGTATTTTTGTGTCAAGATTTCTGCTTCACCACTATTTGGCCAGGTTGATCCAATAGTCCAAGCTTTCTACTGAAAGTTGGTCGGATTTGTTCGTGCATCTTGTTGGGCTTCTTGATTGGGCTTCTTCAGAATTTTTCCAAGATGTTGGAGTCTTTCTTGTTTTCTTGGTTTCTTTAAAGCCGCAGTAAATGTATTGAGCGTTAGTTCATTTGTTGTGCAATTAGCTCAAGGGGAGCTATTGCATTGATTCTTGTATATTGATATGATGTGAATCGTGCTTCAAGAAAACTTTTATATTTATTGTGTGAAACACCAGAAACACAATTTGTTGTCTTTTTGGTCATTTCTCAGTCTTTGTAAATACCTACATTCGGGCCATTGAACACGACATAAAAAGTCTTGTCCTTTTTATTTGGGATTTGAATTCCCTTGTCACTGTTAACTTATGTTATTTGTTTAGGAAAAAACGTTCCATCATTGGGTCTAAGGGTTAATTGATCATCACTATCCGACGTTGTTTTTAAATTAATGCATATTGCTGCTTTTAGCAAGTTGCTAGTGATTAACGGAATTGATGAGTCTTTACTAGTAGCCGTTTGCTCTGGACTAGTTTCACCTTTGAGATTCATAAGATCTGAAATAGATAAAATTTCCTCTTTTTCTTTTGTTCACAAGCTAGGCTTGTTACATTACTCGTTTGTTCCATTACTGGAA